TTCTGTTGCCTCGTGAGGTCAAAGCTTTTTTTTTTCAATTTGTGGGTACAGAAGAGAAGAGTCCTCACCAGAGGATTTTCCTTTGAACAGGATACTTGAAGCATTTGTGTCACTATCTTGAATACTAACTGGATATATATATAATATCAAAGAGGCAAGATTTTGCTGTTACTCCGAGTTTCGTGCTACGCACTCATCAGACAGTATTTAAATACTGTCTGATGAGTGCGTAGCACGAAACTCGGAGTAACAGCAAAATCTTGCCTCTTTGATATTATATATATAACTAGCTCTACACTTTATGTGTATTGAGCACTCTTTAATGGGATCAGCTACTTCCTTATACAATTACTAACTGGATATAAATAAATAACAAAATTTCAGCTAACATTAAACTTTCTAGTGAACATGAGGACTATGGGCTCCAGTTTTATTTTTCATTCTCTACTCATATCAGTGGCGGGTCCAGGTTCCAAAAATACCTTTAAAACAATAAAATACTGAATGAGCAACTATAGATTCACGTAGGGAAGGTCGACAGTATTTCGACCCGTATCTCTGTTGTTTCCTTATTTTACAACTGAAAGCAAAACATTAGAACATTAATTACAATCAGCATTCAAGTCGAGTTTATGGACATTTGTAGCACCTCAAAAATGCATTTTCCAGCGATTTGGGCATCAAATTTTACTTAATGTGAAAGCAATTATACAATACAAAATTTGCCATTGTCTACCTCTTTTAAAAGTATATAACTAATAATTACATAAGTCAAAACAATTGAAAACCTTACAATCAACGGTACCCAGTCAACAACATGTGCTTGATTTCTTTCATTATTATATATAACTTCACTTAATATAGTCATAACTTATATGGCTATACAACATTTGATAAATATTGATGGTTCATAACTTTGTTTTAGTAATAGTAAATGTCCAAAGAAATGAAATGTAACGTAACATATATTACAGCATGTTAGTTTTTTTATTTAAAAATCAGTGGTCTGTCTCTTTTACTCTGACTTGCAAGTTATAATKTGCAGCCTACTCGCTGTCACTATCATAGTCATCATCACTGAAATCACTGCAATCAATATCTTGTTCTGGGAGTTTCAATAAAGCTACAGTGTTTTCCAACTCCTGGTGTATTTGGTCCACCTCTGCATCTAGGGCTTTGGCTGTTTCCCACATGGTGATGAGATCAGTGGATTGCATGTCAACTTGAACTGCAGCTTCAGAAGTAGAAGTGGTAGGTGCTTGTACCTCATTGGACTGTTTTGCCAATTTCCTTCTCGGCTTGGCTAACCATTGTTTAGTGGCCTCTTTCACCAGATNTTGCCATCAATGGCACCAAGACAGTGTGGAAATTGCCATCTGTCACTAAACATTCTTTGGGACTTTTTGGGCAGCTGAGAAATTYTCCTTTGAGAGTGTCAAAAATGGCTTGACATACTTCAGGGATAACTTTGAAAATTGTGTTGTGTAAATCGGCCTTATGAGTGGGAAACCGATGCTGACGCGATACAACTATGGTACGGCTACGATACGGATTTCTTCTATCCTTTCTTAAGTTAATCTCAAGAAATAATGATAATCACAACGAAAAAAGGCTAATTTTCCCAACAAAACATTTAAGTGGTATTTACAAGCAAGCAGTACAAAACATTTCAAGTAATGCTTGAAAATTACCGACTGAAGATGTCACGCGCGAGTGCTTGAATACCCGAAAGTTTTACAAACTAAAAACTTTCAACAATGAAAAGCAAATATTCTCCCTGCTTAAAAAAGTGCTCAAATAAATACAAAAGCTAATACAACTAGTTTATTTATTAAAAAGATCATTTTATCAGGCTGACATCAAGATACCAGGACTACATTTTCTCAACAAATCGACACTGAGTGAGGTCTCGAAATGCCGAAAAAATAGAGGAATATTGATATAATAATCTTCAAATCTGAACATCTGCCAGTCATTTTATAAAATCTCTACTTACAAAAAACTGATTCCCATTGACATTCATACTTAATAGGCTTTTCTGATTGAATTTTTGTCGAAAACTTCACAAAAACAGGTGGCGAGAATTCAGCAACTAGGTGTTGTGTGACAAGATGACATAGAAAGTCTCTCAGCCAATCAGGAGTCATGCTCATGATATGGCTAAAGTACAGTATCACACGAGCACCTTATTTACCCAATCAACGATCGAACTTACGATACAGCCTACGGTACCGTAACGCGTGATGCGACAAGTGTCGTATTCAGGTGTGTCAATAAAAGACGGCTACCGGCAATAAACTGCCGTCTACTTTCCTTCTGAATGACGGGTACGTATGAATTGTAAAAGTTTGAAGTGTTTATTTGTTTCAACAAATCGTTCTCATAAAAGATCATAAACGAAACAAATGCTATACAACAACTTAGATGCTTAGTTAGACTTAAGTGACATCACACAATCATAGTGTAATGCAACACTGAATCAATAAAGACCATAGTGGAGCCTGAGTAGTCGCATAATAAAAGAGCTAACTGAGCAACAAACAGTAAACAAAAGTTATATCGAAGATTGGATTATTTCCTAGTATCGGATCACCTGCAAGCAACAGTTCAAGACGTTAGCATTATTGCGGCGCCAGCAACAGATCACTCGGCGTTACGTTTAAGACTAAATTTTTTGCCAAACTCTTCAAACGGTCCATCTTTCTGGAAACTAAACACCTCTCTCCTTAAGGATAAAAAGTATATTGATGAAATAAGAACGGTAATATCGAGAGTCAAAGGTGATTTTGCGGATTCAACAAATCCAAATTCAAAATGGGAATTTTTGAAATATGAGATTAGAAAAGCATCGATTACATTCTCTAAAGCCAAAGCGAAGCGAACACGTAATCATATTAAAGAATTGGAAGAGGAAATCGACGAGATTGAGAAAACAGAAAACTGGTTTNTGTTGTGTAAATCGGCCTTATGAGTGGGAAACCGATGCTGACGCGATACAGCTATGGTACGGCTACGATACGGATTTCTTCTATCCTTTCTTAAGTTAATCTCAAGAAATAATGATAAATCGCAACGAAAAAAGGCTAATTTTCCCAACAAAACATTTAAGTGGTATTTACAAGCAAGCAGTACAAAACATTTCAAGTAATGCTTGAAAATTACAGACTGAAGATGTCACGCGCGAGTGCTTGAATACCCGAAAGTTTTACAAACTAAAAACTTTCAACAATGAATAGCAAATATTCTCCCTGCTTAACAAAGTGCTCAAATAAATACAAAAGCTAATACAACTAGTTTATTTATTAAAAAGATCATTTTATCAGGCTGACGTCAAGATACCAAGACTACATTTTCTCAACAAATCGACACTGAGTGAGGTCTCGAAATGCCGAACAAATAGAGGAATATTGATATAATAATCTTCAAATCTGAACATCTGCCAGTCATTTTATAAAATCTCTACTTACAAAAAACTGATTCCCATTGACATTCACACTTAATAGGCTTTTCTGATTGAATTTTTGTCTTCAAAAAAACTTCACAAAAACAGGTGGCAAGAATTCAGCAACTAGGTGTTGTGTGACAAGATGACATAGAAAGTCTCTCAGCCAATCAGGAGTCATGCTAATGATATGGCTAAAGTACGGTATCACACGAGCACCTTATTTACCCAATCAACTATCCAACTTACGATACAGCCTACGGTACCGTAACGCGTGATACGACAAGTGTCGTATTCAGGTGTGTCAATAAAAGACGGCTACCGGCAATAAACTGCCGTCTACTTTCCTTCTGACCGATGGGTACGTATGAATTGTAAAAGTTTGAAGTGTTTATTTGTTTCAACAAATCGTTCTCAAAAAAGATCATAAACGAAAAAAATGCTATACAACTACTTAGATGCTGAGTTAGACTTAAGTGACATCGCACAATCATAGTGTAATGCAACACTGAATCAATAAAGACCATAGTGGAGCCTGAGTAGTCGCATAATAAAAGAGCTAACTGAAACTGGTAACGCTGGTAACGGAAATTACTATTTTAATCTTTCAACAAAAATTTTGAGGACTTTTACCACACCAAATTCCTATTTGTATTGGGTTATTTATATGTAGGACTAAGTAGATTGTGCCCACAGCTCGTAAACTATTGGGTTATTTATATGTAGGACTAAGTAGATTGTGCCCACAGCTCGTAAACTATCACCAGCTTTTAAGTAAAATTGCCTACGTGCTTTAGAGGTAACAGAAATTATGCCCTTAACTATACTCTTGCATTTCGCGAGAACATACCAAGTTTATAGAAAAACAAAAGGTTTTGGGAATTTTAAAATGTTTCAAAATGGTTTGTGGAACGTTACTGAAAAACTACATATTTTTGACAGCTTCTCAAATGCAGGTAACGGAAATTAGTTGGAAAAAAAAAGTTGGAAAATGTTGGAAAAGAGTGTGAAATATCTAAATTTCTTTAAAGTTGCATGCATTGGACTATTGTACAGCTCATATGTCTCTATTTTTAACTTTGGATAAAAAAGTATCATTAAGACTTAAAAGCAATTTTAATCTGTNGCTTGTTGTTCCATGAAAGGTGTAAAAGAAATCTCACATCTGTGAAAGCGTCCTTGGAGATCCTTTTTCAGTTCAGCAAGGTGCTTCATGCTCTTTACATCCTCAAGATGATCAATACTGTAGTCAATAGCTGGTTTGATGGCTGCTAGGCATACTTCACCTTCTTGAAAGGTTTTGCTTAAATGGCCCAAAATTGGAAGAACTTYATGTAGAAGGTAAACTGTGGCAATGAACTTGAAATTGCTAATTTGCTGCAAGAGACCAGTCGCTGTTGCATCGCCATCTTCTTTAAAGACTCTGAGGGTCTGCAGCAAGGCTTCGTAATCTCTAAACACCCCTTCTATGGCTCTTTCTGTGGAAAGCCACCTTGTTCTACATGCCTTCCTGAAACGCTTTCGTATGTGTTTCTTGGTCTTCTTACTTACGCTGACTTCATTGATGGCTATCACAGACTTTGCATAGGCTGAACTTTTCAAAGTTCTTTTCCAAGTTATCAAAGAACGACCAAAGCTGCAGCAGAAYTCGTTCAACTTGCTTCAAATAGGCAATGGCGTCATTAGCACTTGCACAAGCAAGTGCCAACCGATGGCAAATACAATGCACATTAATCAAGGCTTTATCTCGGCACGCAGTCTTGCAGCAACACCATTTCTTTTGCCTGTCATCACAGACACTCCATCACTTCCAAAACTAGCMAGCTTGTGCTTCTCTATCTCAGCAGTTTCTATCTGTGCTACAATTGCATCTTTTATTCTTATGGCATCAGGTGACCCTGTGGTGGAGTTCTCCAAAATGTCGCTTGCTGAGAGAAAAACTGTGTTGGCTTTACCGGTATCAGGGTGGACAAATTTGATAAAAGTCACTAACTGTTCTTTGTTAGCAACATCACAAACTTCATCTGCCAATAGGCCATAACAGCTGGCTCTGGATACATCTTTGATTAGCCGAGCTTTAACTACACCGCCTAACAGGAGAAACATCTCTCTTATTGAACCTGCTGAACGATGTTGAAAATATTTTATATCTTCAACTCCAACACTCTCAAGAAGACTTAARAGGCTTGTAAATTTCTTATTTGGCAATTCCTCTTTCATTAACCAGTACATGGCCATGAATGTATTGTAGTAAACTTCTTCTTTTTTGTCCTTAGATTTTTTCATTTCTTCGGCAAAAAAAGAAACTCTATTCAAAAGCTCACATTCTACTGCTGCGGCATGTTGTTTGGACTTAGCGTGGTCTTCTACAGCTTTTCTTTTGTATCTCACTGCGGGTTCCTGGCTGTATTTTTGGCTCTTATTTTGGGTATTGATTGTGGAGTGTTTTCGGCAGAGTAAACAAANATGTCTGATTCGGTGAAATTGCCAGTTGGATCGATCCATTCCTTGACTTGCTTAGAGTACAACTTCCGTTGACCACCTCCGGGTCTGTTTCCGTGGGTAGGTTCATAAAGTGCATAGATTTTTGATGGCTCTGAGTCATGCAGACGCAGAATGTGACCCAGGAATTGGAGCTGCCGACCCACGATAGATTTCATCAACGGTTTGGTATTTGTGATGCTGTATAGTCTTTCGTTTGATACTCTGTCAGTTCGTCTAATACCAAGCATGATACGGTAGCAAGAAGTTKMAAARGAATTTATTTTTGACKTGATATCCTTGGTAATCACCCAAGTCTCGCAACCATAAAGTAGGACGGATAAACAGATGGATTTGAAAATACTGAGCTTTAGTTGAAGCGGGACGTGGTTTGAATGCCATATCTTTTCTAGGCTCCAAAAAGCTGACCACGCAAGTCCATGACGACGTCTGAAGTCACTTCTGCTGTCAGCAACCATGGAACCAAGATATCTGAAGTTTTCGACTTGCTTTAGCATTTCTGTGCCAACACAAATGTTTGGATYATCTGGACAGTTGAAACGAATGAATTCAGTCTGAGGCTGCGGCATCAACTGTACGGTCAAGTTGGACCTGCGCTCTTGGAGTTGATGATTCTAGCAGGCAGATGTCGTCAGCAAAATCGAGGTCGTTCAAATACTTTGCAGGGTATCTCCTGGATCTTTTTGGGTGGGTGAGTAAGCCGGAATCACTATCACGAGTTGATTGAGACATGACATAGTCAACAATGATGACAAAAAGAAATGGAGCGAGGACATCACCCTGGAGGACACCTGTTGTTACTTCAAATGTATCGGACAGACGACCATCAACAAAGACCGCACATTTCGAGTTGTCGTAAAGCACCCGAATGGCACTGACAATATCTTCAGGGATTCCATAATTCCTAAGAATGGCGAACATAGAGTCTCGGTTTATTGAGTCGAAGGCTTTACGGAAGTCGATAAAGGTCGCTACGAGAGGAAGTTGCTTTGCCCTGAACCCATCCAGGATACGTCTCAAAGTGTGAATTTGCTGTGTGCAAC